TCACCAATAACACTGATTTATTTACTGCTGAATTTGATCCGTCTTAATGAAACACCCTTATATATAATCTGTATTAAAGAAACACGCTTTACATTACGATCTCTCTACTCTCCATCTTTCTTTCAGTGCCTTTGACATTTTATAAACTTTTCTCTTTGTAATATTGAGCGGGATTCGTTATTATTCTCAGCATCTAGTTTTTTTACAGGTACACCAGTTTTACGAAAGTATCGATTTACTCCCATTGCTAATGAAAACCACACATGCCTTTCAATCACCGCCATACTTAGGTATCGCACTCCTGCAGATCTAAAGGGCGTTCCAATAATTTGAACTGATTTAAAATGTGAATTAAGTTTAAGCGTCTAATGCAAAATTCAATATAATTGAAAAAATAGAAATAGACAGAAAAGATAACATTAGAAAAATACTAGAGGAACATGAAGACAAATGGATTTTGTGCCTCAAGACACTTCGTCCAGATGGGCTTAATCACAAATTTAACAACACAGATAGAATTAATAAATAACCCCATAAATCAAGCCCTATCCACTTTTCTCACTCACACGAGAGAGATATGCTTGTAGAGCTGTTGAGGCCTGAAAATTTTAATTTTTTAATATTTTTTATTGTTCAAAACATACACACACACACACACACATACAGTGCTGTTCGATAAAAGTGACTCACCTGTTTTTTTTTACTTAAAAATATTTTCGCCTATTGCTTTTTGGATCAAACTAATTTTTAATCTTACTAATATAAAGACCCCCTTCCTGACCACATAGTAATCAAGGGAGTTTCAGTCTGGGGAGTTAGGTGGCTACATGTAAAGGGGGATGTGATCGCAGAAATTGTCCAACCGCCATGACTGGGTTCTTCTGTTTACTCACCCTAAGATATTCGATTGATAATTATAATTTTGGATATAATTGAGATTTAGGGAAAAACTGTGCAAAAAGAGTGACTCACTTATTTCCTGCAATTAGTAATCAATAGAAACATAACCGAACTGCTTTAAATAAAGAATAAGAGAAGTATAATTTATTTATAATAGGTAATATAGTTCGAAATATTTAATAATCTATGGGCCCTCTTTTATTTTGAATAACCTTTTCAACCCTTTTTGGCATTGACTTAATTAGGTTCTGGCAAATCTCATCTCCAAGGATTGAATTCCATTCGGATATGAAATTCACAATCAAATCCTCTTTTTTGCTCAACTGCTTTCGCGAGAGCCTGTACTTTATAATGCTCCATAAGTTTTCTATGGGGTTGAGGTCAGGAGATTGGGGCGGCCATGTCATAGCACTCACATGCTTCTCATCAAAGTATTCCTTCATCAATTTTGATTTGTAACAGGGAGCATTATCCTGCATAAAAATGAGCTTGGTGGGGTCGATTTGCACCCTTTCAACAGAAGGGAGCAGACAAGACTCTAAAATTCTCTTGTACTGCTCGCTCTTGAGGGTCTTTTCAATAGGTTTTAAGAAACCAGTTCCATGAAAAGAAAAGCATCCCCAGAAAATTATACTGAACGGATTCTTGACAGTACTTACTGCTAAATTCAAAGAGCTTTCAATGCTTCTTCGGATTTTAGATCGCTTATCCTTTGAATTTAGCTCACCTTTCGTTTCATCGGAGAAGAGAACATTTAGTAAAAAAAATCAGGTGAGTCACTTTTATCGAACAGCCCTGTATATATAATCGTAAATCTCTACTGAAAGAACTAAATGTCAGTATCCTAGATAAAACTTTAGATTGTAGCTTTTTCATTAATCAATTCACCCCAAGCAAGGTGATGAAGACACTAAGACTGAAGGGGCTACTAGGAGTGAAAGAGAATGAAACGATCTTTAACGGGAAACAAGAAATAGAGAACTCAGGTGAACCTTCCAATCATTTCACCTGTCGGACTATTAGACTTCTACCTCTTTTGGAGGAAACTATTATAGGCCCTAATCAATGCTGAGTTGAGTTAAACATTTCACATAGTAGCCCCTTCTTTCCGACACGCAATATGGCTTTCGTTTCTCTAGGCCATCTGCTGATGTACAGACGATAATTGCTAAGTTTGTGAATCTCTAGATAAGAAAGTGGAAGCTCGGGTTGTTGCTTTGGAGATCTCAAAAGCTTTTGACAGGGGAAAAATATTCTTAGTCGGCGCGTTTCGTCCTCTGAGGGACTTTATCAAGACAGATGTTGAATTTGTTGCACGTGTTTATATACAAGAGCTATGTTGTTATCGGTTTATCAAGGTTTTTAAATTTGAGAACGTTCATGAATATTCATCAAGTGGTTGAAAGGTCAGGCAAAACGTGTTGAGGATACAAAATGCGATAATTCAAAGTTTTGTAAGACAAAAGTAAGCGAATAATATTCAACAAATATTTTTTTATAAATAAATGAATATTTTTCAAATTGTGATCAGACTCTTATAATCTGGGATTGACGTATATGCTGTATATTTTCGAATACATGAGGCAATAGATTTAATCGTTTTTTTGTTTTTTTTTTCATTTTTCAACATTTTTGTGGTCGTGTAACTTGGCCTGGGAAAGGAGAGATTGGAAAGCAGCCATGACGTAGATTTATATTTTGATAAGAGACGATAGCGGCACTCTCGAGAATTTTTGGCAATTTATATGCCTGCTTCTGAAACAAGGAAAGAAGAAAAATTGAAATCAATAGGAAAGAAAAAAGAAAGAAACCAACAAGAAAGAAAAGAAAAATGGAAAATAAAGATTAAAATTTTGACTGAATCTATTTCTGTGTATGACGAGTGCATTTGATAAATTGTTATGTATAATATCCCTTTTGTGTTCATCGATACGTTTTTTTTTAATTCCTGCATGTTGCACCAGTGGATTTGAGATTTGGCAGTTTATTTCATATATGACTGCTTCTGAATTATTATTGTTATGGGTGTTTTTAGTTCTGATCCTATTCATAATGGATCTGGAAGTATTCTGACTATTTAAAAGTTATTTTGGATAGTGTATGTTATGGAGTTGGTAGGTTGTATTATATATCTGTCTTTGTTTAGTTTATTGTTGTGGATAATATTGTTGTTTTTGTTGCGGTCGCGTATCTTGTATGCGTTGCGTCGGATGAGAATAGTTTTTACTCTTGTCTTTTTGTTCATATGCTCCCTTTCGTAGGTTGAGCACTGTGGGAGAAAGGGAATTTGATGGCTGCTGATGATTAATGCTAAGCTCTTCACTACTAATTGAGCCCTCTGGTAGCCAGTAAATGTTAAAAACTTCTTTTCTTCCTAGCGTGGCCTAGCGTGGCCTAGTGGTGAGAAACTCTATCCTATGTCAAAGTGGTCGGGTTCCGATCCCGGCTTGAAGCAATCGGATGTCTATCCACACTGATGAGCTGTGATATAGCGAAACAGTCTGTCTATGGATGACTATATATATATATATATATAAACACACACACGCACACACATTGCCCTCTCTCCTTAATAGTAGTTTTTTTTCATATTCTCTAAAATTCAGTAACCTCTTGCGTTCTAATGGCTTTATTGCCTTGCTGGGGGTAAAATGATAAAAAAAAAATTTCAATAAATTAAACGAATTCTAGTATTAAATGAATACTGGAACCACTGTTATAATACTTTTAATACTAGTATAATACTTACTATATACATACTTTTGAAGCTCCTGTATAACATGATAATTTTACCAGCGTCCGTTTGTTAATACCACCCGAATCAAGGCGATAATGTTACTAAGAAGGAAAGGGTTACTGGGTTTGAAACAAAATGAGAAGACTTTACTGAGAAGTGAGGAGAACGGATAATAAAAGAAAGGGAACCAGGAAGATAGAATATGGCGATTGACGTTGAGTTTAAATATTTGAAGATTGTAGTTTACAGGGAAGCAAGAAATCGGAAAGGAGTCCCGCAGGCGAGAAAAGGAACGGTTAGGATAGAACTAATAGTTGCATCTAGCTAGTTCAACAGTAAAATGGCGAAACCTTGTTGCAAATCTAGTAGTAGGCTTAAATTCATGCAGTCGAGGTACTAAAGAAAATGAGTGGAGTCTAGATGCCAGGTCAGAATCGATTATTCTACAGAATGTTATTTCGATTTTATCGAGAATCTCGTGATGTATAGTAGGATCACCAGATCAAATATGGCATCAATATGCGATTCACAGGAGAATAGTAGATTTATAAATGTGGAAGATTAATTTCGATAAGAAAAAAATGTCTGCCCCGACACAGTGAACCAACCTTTCTGACATTAGATCTAGCAATTGATTCAGTATAATCACTCCACTTCATGTCAGTGGAAAACGTAAATTCAAGAATGAGTTGTTCCGGAGGTTAGCATCTGCCATACTAATGGAAGGCAGAGAATTTTCTCTGTGGAGATTAAATGATAGCAGTTTTGTTTTGGACGCGTTGAAGTTTATATGTTGTTTCTTGTGTTTTTTATTCTTTTTTTTTTTTTTAAATTTATTCCCCTATATCTGTCAGTTTTGTCAAATGCCAACCATAACGCACCATCAAGAAACAAAAATGAGAAAAAAAGAAGAAAAAATTAAGTCTATAATAAGAAAAGAAAGAAGAAGATAAGCTTAAAAAAGAAATAGAAGAAAAAGGGGAAGTGAATGATAAAGACAGAAAATTTAGGGAATCAATGAGAAAAGAAGAAAATATAATGGAAATCAAAAAGAAAAAAAGAAAAAGAAAAAAGGAAAATCAATAAAAAACAATTAGAAATAAAGAAAGGAAAGAAAAAAGTAAATCAATGAAAAAAGAAAGAAAAGAACAAGAAATTAAAAAGAAAGAATAAAAATTGAAGGAAAATCAATGAGATAAAAAGAAAAGAAAAAAGAGAAACGAATTCAATAAAAACGAAAAGAAATGTAAATCCATAAAAAAAAGAAGAGACATAACAGAATGAGAATAAAATAAATAAATCCAAGTGATAAAAAAGAAAAAAAAATCTTAACAGAATGAGATAAAAAATAATAAAAAGAAAATTAAAAAAGAATTGAAAAAAAAAAAGAAATGAAATCAATGAGAAAGAAAAAAAAAGACAGGAAGAAAGAAAAAAAATGGAAAAGAAAAAAAAAATAAAGAAAAAATTTAAAACGTTGAAAAAAAAAAGAAAAAAAAGAAATCAAAAAAGAGAAGAAAAAAAGGAAAAGAAACGAAAAAAAAGAAAGAAATCTACGAGAAAGAAAAATGGAAAAATAAAAAGAATAGAAATCAACAAGGAATAAAAAATCAAAGAAACAAAAAAAAGAAAAAAAAAAAGACGAAAGAAAAAAAAGGAGAAAAAAAAACAAAAAAAAAAAAAATAAAAAAGAAAAAATCGAGAAAGAAAAAAAAAAAAATCTAAAAATCAAAAAAAAAAAGAATAGAAAAAAAAAAAAAAAAAACGAGAAAAAAAAATGGAAAAAAAAAACGTTGAAATCAAAAAAAACTGAAAAAAAAAAAAGAAAAAAAAAAGGAAATCAAGACGAAAAAAAGGGAAGAAGAAGAAAAATTAAACTCAATAAAGAAAAATGGAAAAAAAAAAAACAAAAAAAAAAAAAAAAGAAATCAAAAGAAAGAAAAAAGTAAGGAAATCAAAAGAAAAAATGGAAAAAGAAAAAAAAAGAATAGAAATCAACAAGGAACGAAAAAAAAAATGGAAAAAAAACTGAAATCAAAAAAATCAAAAAGAAAAAAAAAGAAAAATCAAGAAATCAAGACGAAAGAAAAAGGGAAGAAGAAAAATTAAGCTCAATACGAAAGAAAAAAGAAAGAAATACGAAAAAAAAAAAAAAAGAAAAAAATAGAAATCTACGTGAAAAAAAAAATGAAAAAAAGAAAAAAAAATAGACGAAACAAGGAATAAAAAAAAAACATACGAAAGAAAAAAAAAAAGAAAGAAGAAAAAAATAGAGATTATCAAGTAATGAATAGATAAAATGAAAAGAAATTCACAAGACAGAAAAAAGAAAGTAAAAAAGAATAGAAATCAGTAAGAAAGAAAGAAGGAAAGAGATCCATGAAGAAGAAAAAGGAAAGAAGAAAATACAGAAATCAGTAAGAAAGTCAAAGAAAGATCAGCAAGAAAGAAAAAAAAGGAAAGAATAGAAATTAATGTGAGAGAAAAAGAAATAAATTTAATGCGAAGGAAAGAATGAATAAAAACAAAGGCAATCAAGAGAAAGAACGATAAACTCAAGAAAACACAAAATACATCAATAAGGAAGAACGAAAGAAAGAAAAAAAAATAGAAATTATTCTTGGATTTGAAACCGGTATGATCTGTTATCATCATTGCCTTCAGAAACCAAATCTTGATAAATCGAGTTTCATTTCAACCTCGTCTAATTACAAAGTCTTGCATCAAAATCAGCCGCCCATTTCGTGGAAAGAAATTGTTTTATCACGATGTCTGTTCACCTTCTGCAGCCGGTTGTCATGGTGATAAATGACAATGCTTATTAAAAAGAGGAAAAAAGAAGGAAAAATGGTGAATAAACGAGAAAACATTCTCAAAATGCCATAATAGCTACCCTGCCGTTTCCGATTGCATCTGCGAGCACAAAATATATATGCTAGTCCTTCAAAAATTGTTCGCACACCCAAATACCGAAAGATGGCTAGGCATCGTTGAAACGCAGTAATTAGTCAAGATAGTTTGGTAGATCATTAGCCAGAGAAGAGAAATCTCTAATTATGCGTACCTCATTAGCGTAGCCGTATGGTACCGTAAACTAAACTTTGTAAACATCGAGGGTAACCTAGTGGATTAAAAACGTTGGTTGGTGAATTTGTTTATATAATAATTCTGAGTTCGATCCCTGGGCCTGGTAGTCTCAGACTAGACTCAGTGGAAACAGAGTGAGCACTAACTGAGTGGTGCTAAATAAGAACAAGACGAAATATCCCTAACAATGGAGGGTGGAACAAGAACAATATCCTTCCGTAAATTAAATAAAGTGTTTAGTTGGAAATTGTCTGAAGGATACCCTGATCCATATGTACTTGCTGAAAGTCGGAGTGTATAACTGTCGAAACGTTATGATAATAATAACAACAATATTCCTCATGTAAATAATGTAAACTCAAACAAACAACGGTACCTTTTAGTCTTGGAAACAACAGTTGAACGTGTAACGACTGCAACTGACACTGAGTTAGAGTTAGGGTTAGTGGAAAGTTTTACCATCTTTACATAACATCTTTAGTAAAATTAATAACAACGAGCCTAAATTCAGAAATCCCACAAAAGAAAAATAGTGCCTCCGACAGGAATCGAACGTGCACCCCTTTTTTTCCTGATGAAAAAAAAATCAATTGCACTTTGTTCTTTTAAATTTCTGACGAAGGAACACGATGAAAAATGGAACATACATTTGTTTTGACATTTAAAGAAATGTTACATCGTTTTTCTCTTTCAAAGAATACTAATAATATTCTTTCCAGTCATTAACAATAAAACAGAAATTACAGCCTTACACTATAAGGTTACAAACGGTAACTGTTACTGTTAAAGATAAATTCTTATTAGAGAAAAAATCTGTTAAAGTTAACTCCTTATAAAAGAAAAGTACTATAACCCAACTTCCCTCATTTGCTACATATATTTTGTTTATAACATTCAATTTAAAAGAGGGATCAATAAATACAAAAGTAGAGCACTAGAGAGTGTATTTTGTGTCTTTCTTTCTTACACTTTTCCTTTTCATCCTTTTCTCGTGAAAAAAGGGTGTATCTTGTTTTTAAATTTCAATAAATTGTCTACTCACCAGTTATTTACTAACGCCTGGTGTTACTATGCATCGAAACATGATTGCATTTGAGTAGCATTTTTTTTTACATGTTTTTACGCAATATCCGAAAATAATATATATATATATATATATATATATATATATATATATATATATATATATGATTAAAAAAAAATAAAATGTTCACGACTAAAATAATTCTGTTACAGCTAATCCTTATAATATATTGGTAAAAATTGCATGTTAAAAATGTATTTATGAACACGAAAATGATCTGTATAGCAATGTATGTAATGCATTAGTTATATACAAAAAAAAATTACACCATAACTTTGACCTTAAGAATTTACTTATTAAAATATTTGGTTTGGTTTGTTTTACGGCATATGCACCTCAGTGGATTATTTAATGGCGGCAAGATTTGTATTATCAAAACTTTTTTCTTCAAAAATGTATTGCTGGTAATAGTTTTTTTTTTTTTTAATAAAATTTATTGCTGGTAATAATTTTTTAAAACTGTATTGCTAGTATTTTTTTTTTTAAATGTATTGTTGGTAATATTTTTTTCAAAAATTATTTTTGGTAATATCTTTTTTTCAAAAATTTATTTATCTTTTACAAAAATATATTGCTGGTATTAAAATCTATTTTTACACTTTCATAGTGTTTTGACCCCAGTTCGGAGGTCAACTATTTGCCCATAGCTGGGACCCTAGCAGGTGCTACGTGTCAGGGTGGACCCGGGAACATCAGCAATTATGAGGTGGTTCCACTCTCCTTGCTGTATATCTTCTTGCCCAGGATGTCTATATTTCTGAGATGAGGTATTATGTACACTATTTACATTATTCTTATTATTATAGTTCTCAAGGACACATGGCACAGTGGATAAAGGCATTGGTTCGATCCAGTGACATGACCTAAAGAGTGTGAGTTCAATACTCGGTTAAGGGAGTGGAGAACTTGGAGAGGGGAATTAACAGGAGTTAACTGACATCCATTAAACATGGCACATAGAATTAGAACAGTCCACCCCAGTCAGCGAAATAAAGGGTTCAGTTCGACATTTCAACCATCTGTATAAGGCCGGCGGAACATCGGCCGAAACGTTGTAATAAATATAGCGACAAAGACGAGGTCCGAATAATGTAAATAGTAGACAAATTTATAGTCCTTCCTTCAATAATGAATTGTGTAACCTTTATTGTTGATTATTGCCTTTGTTTTTATAGTGTCTTACAAGATTACTACACACTGATAAGTATTTCGTTCCATTCTTCCTTGTCAATAATTTTTCTAGTTAATTTCTAAATTTTTTGACTTCTTTCATTTTAGATTTTACTTCAAATATGGCCATAAGTTTTTAATGGGGTTTAGCTCAAGACTTTGTGTAGAATACGTCAATATTTTAATTTTGCTATCCTCTTTTGTATTTTCTTTTATTATTTTTAACATTATACCGTGTGTTTCTGGGTCACTGTCATGTTGGAAAAATTAGAAATACCCCAAAGACAGCTTTCGTACACTTTATTTTTTATGAATAACCAAATACTGCTCTTTATCCATGATAGCCTGTGCTCTCATTGGTGCCCCTGGTCTAGAAGCAGCAAAACATCCCCAGATAAGAATGCTCCCATCCCGTGCTTAATTGTAGAGAGGATATTTTTTTTGTTTGGAATTGATATTATAGGTAATTTTCTTGTCGATAAAGGTTGCAGATGTTGCATGATCCTTTTTAAAAATATGCATGAGAAATACTTTGATGATAAATCCAATCAAAACTAGGTTATCATAATGTTTTGCTTTGTTTCACCGGCACACACAGAGTTGACGACCGCAGACTTTACCACCACACACATACACCTACACAAGAATATAAAAATCCAACCAAATCCAAAATTATTAGAACATATCGCTACATTTCATCAACAATACGAGGGTGGCATTCCCCACATACACATTTATACACTTACATGAATTAACGTTACCGTCTAACATACACCAGAGACACACTTTTTTTTATTACAGACAGATTTTGTCACTATCACACATTTTAACGTTCAAAATGTTAAATCACATATTTATATAAAATTTGTTGCGTTAATAAGACGGACATGCTTAATGACCTAATGAAAATTAACCCAGAATCATACTCATATAACATTTCTGATATTAAGATATTATCAGAGGAGAGGGTTCAATCAGTATGCGGAGATATATTGAAAGTGACTGAAAAATACCCCGTGAGTGAAAGTGGGTAGACGGAACACTTGAGTGTAATTTTTTGTTGAAATTGTTGATCACGCTAGATTGAACTATCTTTCACAGAAACTGTAACTAAGGATAATTCATAAAACATAGTTTAAAGTATAAACCACAGCTTTATGGTTTTGAATAAATATAAATGTGCCTGAAAAAAGCGTCTGCAATAGGGATTAGGTAATCGCCCTAGTAGACAGTTATCCTCGAATACGAGTGGCCAGCTATTATATATATATATATATATATATATATATATATATATATATATATCAGTTCATCCAATAATTTCTGTCCGAATTTTAAGTTAACCGTCTAAATAGGTCATGGTCTGGTCACTCCTCCTCCCCCAATACAAAGTATACTTGAGAGAGATATGAAATTAATCCCTCCCTATAATCTACCATGTCTCTTTAACTATCCCTTTTATACTCTCTGTTAAATTACAAAAACTAACACTACCCATCAATTTTAATTTCATTTTTCGTTTCATTTCATTTTTGGAAGTGCTGTCTGATGATCCGGCGTCCTTTAAAAGGGCTCTGGTGAAATAAATTATTATAATGAAAAAATAAAGTGGTCTGTTTTTCTTTTAAATATATATATATATATATATATATATATATATATATATATATATATATATATATATATGTATATATATAGAGAGAGAGAGAGAGAGAGAGAGAGAGGACACTGTTTCATTTATGACCTCACACATATCTATATATTATCTGTTGTGTTAATACACGTGATGTGTGTCTGACCAATGAGAATTAACCAAAAACCATGATATAACAGTACTCTGAGTCTCTTTGCTTTTTTCACTTCTATTCTCGATCTCTGACGAAGTCTTAATAAAGT